AACTTTGCAATTTGGACTATTATGTGTATGTCCATTACATGAAATCCATTTAAATTACAGGTTGTAATGCAACAAAATAGGAAAAACGCAGAGGGGGGTGAATACTTTTGCAAGGCACTGTATGTACACAGCTGTGATAATAACACAGGTGAATCCCCTCAGCATGGTGTGGTCGGCATTTTAGCATCAGAAACTCCAGGTCGGGTGAACAGGAGCTTGAGATGTTTTCAACTTCGGTACACCAGGAATTGTTGATAGGGGGAAACATACCCCTCCCCCACCTACTCTTACCAGAAGCCGCTGTTCGATCCATATGGAAAATAGAAAAGCCGTCTGGTTGAAAAGCAGAGTCGAGTGTATTGTTCGCAAGCCATGTCTCTGTAAAAACAAAGACACAGCATTCCCTGATGCCGGTCTGCGAGATCACAAAGTTTTTCTTCCAACGATTGGACATTAGCTATCAGGATACTAGGAAGAGGAGGCAGTGTAGCCCATCTTTTCAGCCTTGCTTGGAGTCCCCCTTTCCTTCCTCTTCATTGTCACCTACGTTGACTTCGGTCATCTTGAACAGCAGCAACAGGTAAGCCCTCTTGCGAGAAACAAAGGAGCGAATGCTGTATTCCAGATCTGGGAGGCTGAGAGATAAGTGTGTAGCTTACGGTTCATGATCCAGAAGTGTTTGTTGGTTATATGAAATTATTGCATGAACATTCTGAGCAAACATAATAATAACTAACGCATAAATAGCCATAAAAAAGCTAAGTTGAGCAGGAATCTGCAAGACGCGCACCCTCCTCAGCGCCGCCATATTATCATCAGATGGAGAGGACAAGTGCACAGTGAAATCCATGAACCCAGAGCAGAAAGATAAAACAAATGTTGCGTTTGGAGGACACAAAACATCATTGAGTTTGTCCTTGTGTCATGTTGTGAGCTGTCAGAGACATTTTGGCCTCTTCAAACCCTATTGGCTCGAGCTTAAACCTAGATAAATGTACTCTCCTGTAGACTCTAGTGTTCACAAACAGCTGCAATATGTCCCTTGTAACTTAGATACACCACCTGCCTACCCCTTAATGGAGCATGTAAACACCTTGTGAAATGGCTCTCTGCAGTGACATGTTAACATTTAGCACGCAAAATTGTCGAAGCACACTGTCTTTGGAGCCTGGAAAAGCTGCCATTCCATGCTTAACCGTGGAGGCTCAGCTCCAGTCGACTCATGAAATTGCTCAATCCAAAACCGCTGAACGCTATCTCTCGTATGTCTCACTGACTGCTCGGCTCCTGAAGTGGAACCGCAAAGTGTTTTGGGCTCGGTGTAGGCTCAGCAGAGGGGCTGTCAGAGAGTGAGATGGCATGGGCCTACTGTCAGACACTGCTTCCCAGTGATTTCCACAGACTCACAGGAGGCTGTAGAGCAGCTTCAGACTGTTCTGTTCAATAGAATCTTCAGTCCTATTTAACTCAGTTTCCTTTTAACTCTCGTCTTTCTTTTTTTGTACATTGCTTTTTACACACTCCATTACCGTACTGTAGAATCCTTGAAAATGTCATAAATCTCTATAAAAAATGCACCGCCTACTGGGTGACCCTTGGGAACTTCGTTTTCGAATGACTGTATCTGCAAAGTGACGAAGTCTGCAAAGTAATGGTAACCTTGACATTATATGATTTTCTTTTGTCCATCGTTATAGATTATTGAAAGGATTTCTGCATTATCTTGTCGGGTATTTCTCTATTGACTCATAGCACAGATTGCTCAGCAGGAAGAAATCAAAGTTATACATTTTTCCTCATTAAACCAATGCAGTTACTGTATATCCTTGCAGCAAGTTGAATATCTACCGCAGCAACACTACCACCAGGGGACTTACAGTAGAATTAATTGACTTCCAAAACAAGTAGAAGAGCAACTACCCACTGGGCACAAACCAGTAATTTGTCAACATATTGTGACGTGCAATCTACATGTAAAATACAATGGTGCTCTTTAGGCCTAAATAGCATTTGTGAAAAGTCATCATCAGCTATTGTTTCAATTTAACCGAGGATTAAACTAAAAATAGACAATACATATTGGTCCAGGGTTTCAAGCTTTGGTTGTTTTCAAATGTAATTCCAATTCTACAAGTTAATAATGGATATGTTGGATTCATGTCTTCATCGCAACCAAAAATCTAAGTTAAAGAATAGGACTAAATCAAATCAAACTTTATTTAAAGTGTGTTTTATTTGATTTAGTTATATTTGTTAACTTTTTGGTTGAGATGTAGACGTGAATCCAACATATCAATTATTAACTTGTAGACAAACTGGAATTAAAGCAAGACTAAGTCAGTGGCACAGACGGAGAACACATTGGGAGGGATCTTAGACCATTCCTCCATACATAATCCTTCCAGATCCTTGATATCCTTCATCTGCGCTTATGGACTGCACTCTTCAATTCAAACCACAGGTTTTCAATGGGTTTCAAGTCTGGAGACTGAGATGGCAATTGCAAAATGATGATTTTGTGGCCACTTAACCATTTTTTTGTTACATTTAATGTGTGCTTGGGGTAATTTTCTTGCTGGAAGATCCACTTGCGGCCAAGTTTCAGCCTCCTGGCAGAGGCAACCAGGTTTTGGGCTAAAATGACTTTTTTTGTGCTTGTAACGGGTTGAAAGTGCAGTGATAACAAATTTAGGTGACAACTAAACCAAAAATCTGACATAGTTTTTCCATTTTACTTTGGTTGTTCTTTTAGATGGTTGAAAGCATTTTGATAACACATTGGGATTTCAACAAACTATTGGCTGTCTTTTTGAGTGAATATACAGGTAACTGCTCAAATAAAGGAAACACCAACATAAAGTGTCTTAAAGGCCCAGTGCAGTCAAAAACATGATTTTCCTGTGTTTTATATATATGATTTCCACACTATGAGGGTGGAATAATACTGTGAAATTGTGAAAATTATTATAATTTCCTTTAGTGTAAGAGCTGTTTGAAAATACCGCCTGAAATTTCAGGAGTTTAGGCCTGCCTTGTGACATCACCAGGCGGTAAATTAGTTAACCCCCTAGAGTGTAATGACGCACAGGTGTGTCCGTCTAAGTAACATAATAAGAAAATCCCCATAAAAATCAGTCAATTTAAGATAGAGATATCAGTTTTGCACTCAGTCCACCACATCCGCCGATGTCGCACTTCCACATCTGTGGTGAAAGGTGGCAGAGCTAGAGCGGTGTTTGTCAGACCATGAGACATCCCGAAAATCTGTCTTCTCACGAAAACGTCTGTAGTGTCCGAGCGGTTTGGCCTAAAAACAAATATGGAAAGATGAGACTCTCATGAACACAATGGTGGTCTCTTTTTTTCTACGACCCCACACAAGTGTCAGGGGACTCGTCTGAAGTCGGTACATTAGTCTTTGTAGCATCCAAACCGTTTGGGCTACCAACTATTGTGACCCCATTGTGGAAAGGGGAGATTCTCATGAACACAATGGTTTTCTCAGTTTTGCTCTACAACCCCCACAAGTGTCACAGGACTCTACGACCCCCCATTAACAGCTTAGGCTCTGAAGAATTAATAGACCAATAAGAAAGAGAGTTCCAAACCTCTCTGCCAATAAAAGCTAGTTTTCAGTTTTCCCTTCCCCACTCAGACCACTCCCAGACAGTCCTAGCAAAATTATTGCTTGAGAAGTTGCCCTAAGCTATTTTTTTATTGAAAACAATCACAGTAAGGTGCTTCATTGTTACCCAGAAATTATTTGATATTGAGATAAAAATGGCTGCATTGGCCCTTTAATAGGACGTTGGACCACCACCAACCGCCAGAACAGCTGCAATGCACCTTGACATTGATTCTACAAGTGTCTGGAACTCGATTGTAGGGATTCTTTCACAATAAATTCCATCATTTGGTGTTTTGTTTATGGTGGTGGAAAAGGCTGTCTCAGGCGCTGCTCCAGAATCTCCCATAAGTGTCAGATTTAGTTGAGATCTGGTGACTGAGACAAACACACACACACACATACAGTGAGCTCCAAAAGTATTGGGATAGTGTAACATGTTTGTTGTTTTGGCTCTGTACTCCAGCACTTTGGATTTGAAATGATACAATGACTGAGTTTAAAGTGCAGACTGTCAGCTTTAATTTGAGTGTATTTTCATCCATATTGGGAAGGACCGTTTTGAAATGACAGCACTTTTTGTACATATACTATTCTTATTTACAATAAAAGTGACTCCAACATAACACAATACATTATTTACCATTCATTTCTATTGGGCACAAAATAATCCGAAACACAACCAACAAATTTGTAGAGTCAGAAGCTTGATGTAGTCATTGTGTGATATGAATATGGGACTAAATACTTAACTTTTTACTACTTTAATAGACATATAAGTGAATTTGTCCCAACCCTTTTGGTCCCCTAAAATGGGGGGACTATGTTTCTAAAGACGTCTACATTAATGTGGATGCTACCATGATTATGGATAATTCTGATTGAATCGTGAAGAATGATGACTGAGAAAGTTACAGACGCACATGTGTCACTGACCCAATACTTTTGGAGCTCACTTTAAATTAAATCCCCTATGCTCCTTTGAGACCCCTCTTTCAAAGTAACTGATATCTCTTCTAGCCATGGTAGCCAAAATAATGGGCAACTGGGCATTTTTCTACATGACCCTAAGCATGATGGGATGTTAATTGCTTAATTAACTAAGGAATCCCATCTGTGTGGAAACACCTGCTTTCATTATACTTTGTATCCCTCATTTACTCAAGCGTTTCCTTTATTTTGGCATTTACCTGTAGGTTTTAATCTCATTGATCAACGGCTCACCCAACTATTACCAAATTGTCCACGTTTAAATGACATGGTGTGCCCAGTGGTAATCATCCCAAGAAAAGGAACTTACAAAATGTTTGTTTATCATGCTTTTCCCCCCTCCTCGCAGATATTTTGAGGTTATATTTTGAGGTTCGTAACCAAGATGTCTCTGAAGGTTCATACCAGCAATGTCACCAACAAGAATGACCGCAAGTCCATCAACTCACGCGTGTTCATCGGTAACCTCAACACAGCCGTGGTGAAGAAGTCGGATGTGGAGAGTATCTTCTCGAAATATGGCCGCGTGCTGGGCTGCTCTGTGCACAAGGGCTACGCCTTTGTCCAGTACGTCAGCGAGAGGCATGCCCGTGGGGCTGTTATAGGGGAGAATGGACGAGTGCTGGCGGGACAGACTCTGGGTGAGTCCTATTTGGGTTCTTCTGTCGTTTATCTCAATAGTGAATACTAGGGCCATGTTTTTGTTTCAGATGTTTGGGTAATGATAATAATGTCATGATAATAACAGATCAGCAAATGTCAACCGACACTGTCGAGGGATAATTAATCAAATAGTTTACCCTAAAATCAAAATTCTTTAGATGTTTTCAGACCTCAAAAGAACATTAGAACATATTTCACAGTATCTGTTATGTAGAAATCTGCAGGTCTCAATTGCACACATGAATGGGAAAGATTGGCACCATCTAACATACACAACAGATGCCGTGGAATATGGACTCAGCTTTTGACATAGGCCTACGGAAATCGACACATGTAGAGTTTTGGGGCGAAATATTCCTGCTTCAGAGTGCTGAGCGATTAACCGAAATGTCCGTTTTTTGTTCCTTCTTTTTCTGTGAGCTCAATGCGCACATTGCACTGCAGTTTCTCTAGAGATAAATCAGATCATGCCCAAACTGTGCGATGTAGTAGGGAGTTGTAGTTTCCAACAGGCCAATGTTCTACATAGTTTAGCGCAGAAAACGTGATAATTAACTACAATGACAATAATCCATTGCGCGGCTACTTGTCCGGTCTGTTTTGTCAGCATAGGCAGCAGCTCTAGGGAGATGAGATTATTACTTGGAATGAAATAGTCATCAAATAAAACAAATAATATATATTATAGTGGCAATCGGCAGCTGAAATAATAACAAAGCGAATCCCTGCCCCTGTTTTGGTAAAAAGCTGAGGGATTGGGCTTGAGAAATGTAACCTCTCTCAAATGCAAAGCTATGGATGCAAGGACTGACCATCCATGATATCAAAATTATAGTTTTAACCATGATTTGAGGCTATATAGTGTTCGTTTACATTTACTTTGTTTATAAAACATTGGAGTAAAACAAGCTTATATTTTGGGTTCTGGTGGGGTACGACAGTTGAACTAAGCTAATAACGCATTTATGGGTTATATTCTTCAAGAATCAATGGGTACATATAATTAATTTATAAGTCCAAAAATTGACGTAGAAACTGCTGATTGCCCCTTTAAAGTAAAGTAATATGAATAAGTTATGGTTAGTAAGTGATAAGCAGTCATGGGCAATCACTACCATCATGGGACTTTTATTAATTGTTCCAGCGTTCAACCTACATAATGAGTAGTGCATTAAATGTTTTAAAAAATACTTGAAAATCGTGATTATTTTTTAAGAATCAAACTGAAACCGAACCAACCTCAAAAAGCACTGATCGCTCAGCACTACTTTTTTTACTACACTTTTTACTGCATACATTTTCCCTGACACCCAAAAGTACTCGTTATATTTTGAATGCTAATTCACACATTTATCAAGAGAACATCCCTGGTCATCCCTACTGCCTCTGATCTGGCGGACTCAATAAACACATGCTTCGTTTTTAAATGATGTCTGAGTATTGGACCATGCCCCTGGCTATACATAAAAATAAAAATAAATGATGCCATCTGGTTTGCTTTATATAAGGAATTTACAATTATTTATACTTTTACTTTTGATAATTAAGTATATTTAAAACCAAATACTTTTAGACTTTTACTCAAGTAGTATTTGACTGGGTGACTTTGACTTTTAATTTAGTCATTTTCTATTAAGGTATATTTTACTCAAGTTTGAGAATGGGGTACTTTTTCCACCACAGTGTGCCTCTGGGAAAGATCAGAGAGAGCAGAGAGACCTGCTGGGCCTGTGCTAAGAGCAGTGTGTATCTGAACCACTCTTACAGCACTCCCTGTAGTCCTTATCAGGCCTTTGAAGAGTGGTGCTTTTTATCAGAGCGTTGATCTCAATAGAACTCAGATTAACCTCCTGACTGTGTGGTGAATCACAGAGGAATACCATCGCTGGCCGCACTGCACTGAGCATCCTTTAACACCCTTCTACTGGTCATCTGGTACAGCTTCATCCCCCATTACACAGAGCCCCAGCTGGACTCTGTCAGCGTCAGGGAACTAAATGTAAGTGGAGGAAAAGACCGGAAAAGTCACATTGGGCGGTATTCTGACTTGCCATTCACTTACCTCCCATTTTTGTCTCCCATTTGACAGTTAATGAATGATTTACAGAAAAGAGTTGCGTGCGCTTTACTCTGAATCTGGCCCAAATACATTATTATCAAATAAGGTATGGTGATGTGGTTTCACTGTGGTATTTTGTTTGTCATAATTTATTGTTAGCCTGAAGTCATTTGTTGAACACCTAAGAATATGCAGTGGCAACAGTCACCGATATACTAAGCAGACACTTCAACAAGCCTTCATTCAACATACTACATATCATTCTCCTCTTAGCTACACATCATCTCTCATAGGCTGCATCCCTACATATTGCACTACTTTTGACCAGAGCCCTAAGAGCATTTTCCTATAAGGGTGATTCTACAGAAGTGGTGCAAATTGCAGTCCCACCCTCAAAAAACACCACAAACTTACATAATGATATGTTCTAATTCAATCCAAGGCAATAACAAGCATATAATTAAATTAATATAGTACAGTCATTGTTTATATACCTATTTCTATTGAGGTGGCTGTCCGAAACCCTGACTCCTAAACTTCATGTTTGAAAATAAAGCAATTCATGATTTGGTCCAGTGTCGTTCGGGTTTGGGGGGGGTTTACTTGGCTCATCGCGCTCTAGCGACTCCTTGTGGCGGGCCGGGTGCCTGCAGGATGACTTCGGTCATCAGTTGAATGGTGTTTCCTCTGACACATTGGTGCGGCTGGCTTCCGGGTTAAGCGAGTGGGTGTTAAGAAGCGCGGTTTGGCTGGTCATGTTTCGGAGGACGCATGACTCAACCTTCGCCTCTCCCGAGCCCGTTGGGGAGTTGCAGCGATGAGACAAGATCGTAATATCACGAAATTGGGGAGAAAAAGGGAAAATAAATAAGACTGTAGAATGAATGTGCCTTAAGCCACACCCCTACAAATATCACCAGGTGATGGGATTGCACCCCTCTCCAGCATTGCCACATGGTGAGTAGTCTATCTACAAACATTTTGGAGAAAATTAGTGAGCAAGTTGGTAAATCTTCATGTATTTTTAAGAACTGTCACTACTAAACACCTAATATATCAATAAATATGTAAAGTACGCTTTTGGGACTAAAATATGCTTTGCTGGGGTGTACATCTGTCCAAATGAAAGATAGCCAGCCATATGTTAGCTATGGGGATTCTTTAAAGTCCAAACCGAAACGATCACAACCAAAACAATTGACACTATATATATATATATATGTACTACAGTTCAAAAGTTTGGGGTCACTTAGACATTTCCTTGTTTTCGTGAAATTTCCTTCACGTCAACAGTGAAGAGGTGACTCCGGGATGCTGACCTTCTAGGCAGAGTTGCAAAGAAAAAGCCATATCTCAGACTGCCCATCATATTCTTTTATTTTTATTGGCCAGTCTGAGATATGGCTTTTTCTTTGCAACTCTGCCTAGAAGGTCAGCATCCCAGAGTCGCCTCTTCACTGTTGACGTTGAGACTGGTGTTTTGCGGGTACTATTTAATGAAACTGCCAGTTGAGGACCTGTGAGGCATCTGTTTCTCAAACTAGACACTCTAATGTATTTGTCCTCTTGCTCAGTTGTGCACCGGGGCCTCCCACTCCTCTTTCTACTCTGGTTAGAGCCAGTTTGCGCTGTTTTGTGAAGGGAGTAGGACACATCATTGAACGAGATCTTCAGTTTCTTGGCAATTTCTTGCATGGAATAACCTTCATTAATCAGAACAAGAATAGACTGACAAGTTTCAGAAGAAAGTTATTTGTTTCTGGCCATTTTGAGCCTGTAATCGAACCCACAATTGCTGATGCTCCAGATACTCAACTAGTCTCAAGAAGGACAGTTTTATTGCTTCTTTAATCAGCACAACAGTTTTCAGCTGTGCTAACATAGTTGCAAAAGGGTTTTCTAATGATCAATTAGCCTTTTAAAATGATAAACTTGGATTAGCAAACACAACGTGCCATTGGAACACAGGACTGATGGTTGCTGATAATGGGTCTCTGTACGCCTATGTAGATATTCCATTACAAATCAGCCATTTCCAGCTACAATAGCCATTTACAACATTAACAATGTCTACACTGTATTTCTGATCAATTTGATGTTATTTTAATGGACAAAAAAAAAAAATCTTTCGAAAACAAGGACATTTATAAGTGACAGCAAACTTTTGAACGGTAGTGTGTGTATATATATATTATATATAATATACAGTGGGGAAAAAAGTATTTAGTCAGCCACCAATTGTGCAAGTTCTCCCACTTAAAAAGATGAGAGAGGCCTGTAATTTTCATCATAGGTACACGTCAACTATGACAGACAAAATGAGAAAAGAAAATCCAGAAAATCACATTGTAGGATTTTTAATGAATTTATTTGCAAATTATGGTGGAAAATAAGTATTTGGTCAATAACAAAAGTTTCTCAATACATTGTTATATACCCTTTGTTGGCAATGACACAGCTCAAACGTTTTCTGTAAGTCTTCACAAGGTTTTCACACACTGTTGCTGGTATTTTGGCCCATTCCTCCATGCAGATCTCCTCTAGAGCAGTGATGTTTTGGGGCTGTCGCTGGGCAACACGGACTTTCAACTCCCTCCAAAGATTTTCTATGGGGTTGAGATCTGGAGACTGGCTAGGCCACTCCAGGACCTTGAAATGCTTCTTACGAAGCCACTCCTTCGTTGCCCGGTTGGTGTGTTTGGGATCATTGTCATGCTGAAAGACCCAGCCACGTTTCATCTTCAATGCCCTTGCTGATGGAAGGAGGTTTTCACTCAAAATCTCACGATACATGGCCCCATTCATTCTTTCCTTTACACAGATCAGTCGTCCTGGTCCCTTTGCAGAAAAACAGCCCCAAAGCATGTTTCCACCCCCATGCTTCACAGTAGGTATGGTGTTCTTTGGATGCAACTCAGCATTCTTTGTCCTCCAAACACGACGAGTTGAGTTTTTATCAAAAAGTTCTATTTTGGTTTCATCTGACCATATGACATTCTCCCAATCCTCTTCTGGATCATCCAAATGCACTCTAGCAAACTTCAGACGGGCCTGGACATGTACTGGCTTAAGCAGGGGGACATGTCTGGCACTGCAGGATTTGAGTCTCTGGCGGCGTAGTGTGTTACTGATGGTAGGCTTTGTTACTTTGGTCCCAAGCTCTCTGCAGGTCATTCACTAGGTCCCCCCGTGTGGTTCTGGGATTTTTGCTCACCGTTCTTGTGATCATTTTGACCCCACAGGGTGAGATCTTGCGTGGAGCCCCAGATCGAGGGAGATTATCAGTGGTCTTGTATGTCTTCCATTTCCTAATACTTGCTCCCACAGTTGATTTCTTCAAACCAAGCTGCTTACCTATTGCAGATTAAGTCTTCCCAGCCTGGTGCAGGTCTACAATTTTGTTTCTTGTGTCCTTTGACAGCTCTTTGGTCTTGGCCATAGTGGAGTTTGGAGTGTGACTGTTTGAGGTTGTGGACAGGTGTCTTTTATACTGATAACAAGTTCAAACAGGTGCCATTAATACAGATAATGAGTGGAGGACAGAGGAGCCTCTTAAAGAAGAAGTTACAGGTCTGTGAGAGCCAGAAATCTTGCTTGTTTGTAGATGACCAAATACTTATTTTCCACCATAATTTGCAAATAAATTCATTAAAAATCCTACAATGTGATTTTCTGAAAAAAAAATTCTCAATTTGTCTGTCATAGTTGGTGTGTACCTATGATGAAAATTACAGGCCTCTCTCATCTTTTTAAGTGGGAGAACTTGCACAATTGGTGGCTGACTAAATACTTTTTTTCCCCACTGTATATATATATATAGCTGTGGAAAAAATTAAGAGACCACTGCAAATTTTTCTTAAATCAGCATCTCTACATGTATGACAGCCATTCCATTCCAGTGTCTGTTGAATTCCAAGACAGGCACACCTCATTCTACTGAATTAGGTACTGATTAGGTGATCACATGAACCAAATCTTATTTAACGAGGAAAAGTATAAAAACCACTGCTGTGGTCATCACTATCCTCTTGCAATAGGACCAGCTGGATGGCAAAAACAGTGCTAATAGTACCTCAAAAGTAATATTAATCAAAAAATAACTATTGACCGTGCCAAAAGAGTTGAAAAGGAAAGTTTTGAGTGAGGAAAAGAAGGGTTCAATTCTGGCTTTACTGGCAGAGGGATACAGTGAGTGTCAGGTTGCTTCCATCCTTAAAATTTCAAAGACAGCGGTTCATAAGAACAAGGTCAAGCAGCAGACATGGGGGACAACAAAGCTACAGACTGGCAGTGTCACGCCCTGGCTCTGGGGACTCTTGTATGTTGAGCCAGGGTGTTAGTTTCTTTGTGTAGTGTCTATGTTTCGTTTTCTATGTTCTGTTCTAGGTTATGTGTTTCTATGTTGGCCGGGGTGGTTCTCAATCAGAGGCAACGTGAATCAGCTGTTGCTTGTTGTCTCTGATTGGGAACCATACTTAGGCAGCCTGTTGTGCACTTGTGTTTTGTGGGATCTTGTTCCGTGTCGGTTTGTGTTGTTAACCGAGGATTTCACGTTTTGTTTGGTTGTTTTGTATTTTGTATTGTGTTGCCAGTACACTATTAAAAAGATGTACGCATATCACGCTGCGCCTTGGTCCAATCATTATGACGATCGTGACAGAAGATCCCACCAAAACAGGACCAAGCAGCGTTTCCAGGAGCAAACGCCGGGTAAGGAGCTGGAGAGGTTGGCGATGGCCCAGGTGGGCCAATGGTGGTCCTGGGAGGATATGTTCGCGGGCAAAGGGCCATGGGCTAAAGTTAAAGCCCTGGCGAGAGAGGAGGTACGGCGCCAACAGTGTCGTCGTCGGACAGGCGAGAGGCAACCCCAATACATTTTTTGGGGGGGGCACACGGCATGGACGACGGGGCTGCTGGAGGCAGATACAGGGCGAGTTT